GGCTTTTCCCCTCTTTGGGAAACTTTAAAAAAAGAGTTCCTCTATTGGAAGAGTTTCTCACTGTCCCTGAAATATTTTCAGGATGTAGTAGGAACATGAATCCCCTTTACTGCTTACAATCCTTTATAAGAAAGGATAACTTAAGAGGTGAAAGGGTCTGTGCGAGTGTCCAAGTGAGTTTCCTGTCCTCCAGCAGGATGCCACAGGGACTGTGAAAAAAAAAATTCTCTTTCTTACTTTCTCTCTTTATTTTCCCTCACATTCATGTGATATTTGCATACTTTTGTTCTCCCTTTCTTTTTCCTCCTTTTTTTATTGCTTTTTTATTTTTTAAATTGTGATAAAACATACATAACATAAAATTTGCCATATTAACCATATTTAAGTGAACAATTCAGTAGTGTTAAGTATATTCACATTGTTGTGTCTTGTTTTTCAAGCAAAATAGAACAAAGCTTTTAATAACTCAGGTCATGAACATCTTCACTGAAACAGGTCCCTACTCTTTTTTTGTTGCTTAAAGAAAGAGAGAAATAGAAAGTGTTTCCTCTGCATCTCTGTCACGTGTAGTAACTGTAGAATTTTCTATAAAATACATGAAACTAATGATAGTTTTCAAAGTCAGAGTCATATGTTGTAGCAAGTACTTCAGTTGAAGAAGAAACCATTTCACATTCTGCAAATGGTAGTTCATTCAGTATATCGAATGGAATACAGAGGCATATTGAAAGATTTAGTCCTGTTTGGGAAAATTACTAGAAATCCCAAAAAGTTGCCCTGATGTTATTCCAAATTGAAGATATCATGTTGGGATTCTCTGTTAAGTTGTCCTTTATTGTATTTTGATCCCTTATTCGAAGTGGGGTGGTTTTAAGAAAGTTTGTCATCTTGTGATGGGCACTGTGAATAATGATTTTAAAAAACAAACAAACAAAAAAAAGACTCTTACCAAACAACTCACAAATGCAAATGCAACTCACAAATGACTCTCCCTTCAGAGCTGCGGTGACTATATTGATGTTCTTTCATTTTGAGTATCATGTGTCAGGAGAAGTAGGTTCTGAAAAACCACTTTTGTGGTTTTGTGGAACTTTCCCCTTGGGATAAGGCAGTGTTGCTAGCCAGTCATCACACAATTTGAAAACGGTCCTTTGTGACACTGACATTGTCCCCACAGAGTTTGCATCACGTGAGGTGAGACCTCAGTCAAACATTGTTACTGATGAACAGGTGACCAACACAATCCAATGATATGCATAGAATGTTCTCAGGTTTCTCCCAAAGCAAGATTCCTAGCAAGAAAACATTGGAGGGGGTGCAAGAATAGGAAATACTAAATTTTTTTTTGGTTTTTACTTAACTGAATGGATATTACCTACAGCAGACATTACTATTGTGTTTTTATTTTTAACTGGTTACCCAGGTCATATATAAAGTGTTCCCTATACAGGGTGTTCAGATTTAGCAAAAATAAAAATACAGACTTCCCAGTTAAATTGATTTGCAGATAAACAAGTAATTGTCAATATAAGTATGTCCTATGCAATGTATGTCGCATGCAGTCAGTATACAGGACATACTACAAAATCATTCATGGCTTATCTGAAATTCAAATTTAACTGAGCATATTATATTTTATCTGGTAACCGTATTCCTGTAATTTATTAAAAATTGTATTTAGTTGACATATAGAATTTAATTTAAACTTCAGTATGAAGTTGGTGTTGTCTTCTCTGCTCTTGCATTTTCAGGCACCAGAATTTCTTCTCTAAGCTATTTGCACTGTTTCTGTTTCTCTGTCCATCTCCTTGTGCTTTTACATGAGGAATTAAAAATATATTTTAGTTTTATTTCTTGTTTTAAAGAAGACAGATTTTAGAGATCTAATTGAGTTTTGTGCTTCATATTAAATGCATCAAAATTTCCTTATTGGCTGCATCTAACTTTTCCCATTTTTTTCTCTTCCCTTTTAAAAATGTCCCTACTCATGTTTCATTTAGCTAAAAACTGTATCTTGAGGTCTTTCACTTTTGTTGTCTCAGAGTTAGGGTTAAATAAATGTTTGCATTTGTACACGCACACACACACACACACACACACACACACAAGCACACTTCAATAAATGAGCAGTATGGAAAACAGAGGTCAAGTCATTATAAAGAAATTTTAATTCCATAAGAGAAATGTAATATTCCGCTTTCTGTAGAAGTAGGTGAAATAAAGGCCAGAAATAAACTAAAATATAAAGGAAGCTTTATTAGCATTTTAAAGAAAAAGCTCTTATTTATGAACTTGACTTTGTAAAAAGAACTATCAGCTCTGAAAGGCTTAAGAAAAAGTTATCTATATCCCTATTCTTATGCCCCTGTGAAGGTAGGTGGTGAGACACCTAAAAGTATAGTCTCAACACACCAAGCCTGTCTTCTGTGATCTGGGTCAAACCAGAATGATTTCAGAAAAAGAAAAATTACAGAAATAAGGATTTAAATGTTTTTATTTTGTTTTAAGTGTTTTTTTTATGTTAATTGGAATAGACTAGATTTCTTAGAGGGGTAAACCCTACAAAAGGTTACCATATATTTATAATATATAATAATTTGACCCACACTATTATAGTGTTTATGTAGCTCTTCCAATGAAGTTGACCAGAAAACTGGAGATTAATCAGATAGAAAACTTGACCTTATCGATTAATTGAGCCAAATTGGGTATACCCAAAATAGATGTTTTCTGTTCATCTTCATTTCAATGTTTATAGCATGATTGATAATTTGCCAGAGAAGCTCTGTCACGTAAGTTATTTATTTTTAAGGAAATCTATTCTGATACTATTTCTACTACCTAAAATTACTTACTCTGAGGCAAGCAGCTTCTTTTGGACAATGACTCAGAAAGGGCAACTGTTGCTTCAGAGACCAAAGCCTCCTAGGCACAGCTCATCATTAGACGTATTTCGGAAACTGCCATAATGGGCGCAGTGAAGAAGTCCTGGTTCGTGCCAGTGGTCTGAGGTCAGACGGAATCAAACAGCCTCAAAAGAAGGGGAAGCCAAAGTGCCTGTGATGATAGGTGGTCAAATTAAACGGTCCTCTCGTCTGATCTTGACTAATGTCCCTTTTATGCCATTTTAGTTCTGACACCATCACTACTGAGAGGTCTGATGATTATACGTTTTCTATAGGAGGAATAATCATCTTTTAAGATAAGGCCCCACGTGGAGATGAGAGCTCCATAAAAAGGAACCATTTTCAATACATCTGTAAGTCTTAAGAAACTCCCAGCACCTAACAAATGTAAGGCAGCACATACTCAAAATCCGTTCTGGCACTGCGAGAAGAAGAAAGTGGAGGAGCGCAGAGAACGTAGAGGAAATAATTGAATGTTTTGACATTGTGAGAATGTGTAAATGACATCTTTTCTCAAAAGAACTGTGCCGGCAGTTCCATAAAACAGCAAACAAATTTTATCCTTCAGTGAAAATAATCGTTAATTGGCCAATAGGTCACAGTGCTTTTCACTTTTCTAATTAGTGGTCAAATTGTTTTCATTGGCATTTTACAGAATGAGTCAAAGAGAGAAATGTATTTATTTATCTGTAGTTTTACTCTCAGCTGTTACGCAAAAGGATGTGATTAAATCCTTGTAATTAAATTATAATCAAACCACACATTGAACAGAATTTTTTTAATAGTTGGAAAGAGATACAAGAACATACATACAGAGTGTGTGAGAAAGTGAGCTAATTCTACCCATCTCCTTTAGTAAGATAGTTGTTATACTTAAGCATTAAATTTAGCTCTGGGTTTCAAGGAAAGCTGAGGAACATAATGGATTTACATACTTTCGCTCTTTTCATAAAATGCAGCATCAGCTCTTGACAACGTTGCGCTGAGATGCAGTTAGTATTTACACCATAACTGAGTGGGATGGCTTTAACTTCTAGATAATTGTGCCTAGATTCTTCAGATATTTCCTATAAATGGGAACAGTTGAAAAACATAATCCATTTTGTACCAGTCCCAGTTTTTTAAAGGTTGTAAACATTATGTGGCATATTTTCAACATTCCATTTTGTATTAGGCATTTTATCAGACACCACCTAACACGAACATGAGTGAAATCGTTGAAAGAGGGACAAGGTGATGTGAAAAGAAAGTAATTTTGTTTTGTATGCTAGATCATGCTTTGGCTTGCTAGGGTCAGTGTATGATAAAATAATAACAATAAAGGGGAAAAAAAGAAAAAGGAATTAATCTGTACTTCTAATTATCTTAAAGGTCGTCAGTCCCATTGTCACACCATCTGTGATAATTGAAAGAGCTCAATAAGCTGAAAAAAGCCTGGCTTTGATGATACATTAGTCAGTCAACTAACAAACATTTTGAGCTGCTTTTTCATGAAAAACATTGGGCTAACACTAGGGTAGAGGGATAATAAAATAGATATCTGCTCTAGAGAAGATCTCAGTGGGAGAAAAGGCCCATAAGCAATTATAATAGAATCTAATTCATAATATATGTATATACATTATTTTTAAAGTTAGGACTAATGAAAGCTTGTTGATTGATTTTTTAACCACACAAAGCAGGTACATAAAGCAGAATTATTTCTTATACTAAGCAAAGGTATTAACCTTTAAATATCTAAATTTCTATCTGTATTCTTTCTCCCTCTCCCGCTAAGGCTGTGCCACACAAATGCCTAAGGATGACTCAGTCTTAGCTCTTGTAATGTGACTGATCGTTTGCCGCACGGTTATTCACTGTCACTGGGCTTCAGAATCTTCAGGCCAAATAGGGAAATATTCCTAGAATCATTAATATAATTCCAATAAAATTATTTGGGACCCCTTGAAAAAAACTATGCAGCCAGGCAGAATTTGTTGTTGTTGTTTGCTATTAACCGATTTAAAATAACTTGCAGTTATCTAAATATCATGCCACCCGTAAGTGGTAGTGGGATATATTTTCAAAGTTCAAATATTGTTTTCTTTATTACAGGTTTCTTTTCTCCATGGAAAACTCCAAAGCCTGTAAGTTGAAATTATTCTACTTCTTTACTGCTAGTTATTATTACAATTCCATTAAGTAAGATTTGAATTGGGTGACCTCAAAATCTCTTCCTTCTCTGAGATTTGTGATGTCAAAAGAGCAAATCCTCCGTGTAAGAATAACTTGTCTTACTTTCCTATAAAGACAATTCTGTCTGTTTTTTAATATTTTTACAAAATGAGCATCAACACTCTTCAGTATGGTGTACTGAAAATACTTTAGAAAACTTTGTTTTACCCCCTGTCAGAAATACTATCGTTTTTATCACATTGAATTTTTAAAAACAAATTATAAGCCCAGAGGTCTTGACCTGCAAGTTAAGTCTGGTCCACAAGAAATGTACCTGTATATATATATTTGTGTATTTATATTTACTTTTTAATGTATACAGAGCTAAATATGTGTGTGTGTGTGTGTGTGTGTGTGTGTGTGAAAAAAATTTTTTTTTCCTACCAAACCTGACAATCACTCAAAGTGGTGCTTCTGAATCTTCAGAAACCGGTGAACTCTGCCATCACCTAATCTCTCTGGGCCTAGTTTCTTTATGAATCGTCCTGAAATTTTGATGCTAAGGTACCAGAAGGCTGGTATTTTAATAATCTTTTTGTGAGGCAAGTTTAGCCAAGTTGCCTTCCCAGCTAGAGATGATCTTTACTTGCCGTTAGATTAAAACTAGTAATTATCCAAGTCCCAAGACCTGGGACTGGTTTTCTGGGATCCCATTCTATAGTGTGTTAGAATAGTCGACCCTAACTGGAATGGCTAAAACTCATGACTGGCAGAGAGCTTAGCAAAGTGATTCAAGTAACAACAAAAACAAAACAAAACAAAAATCTCAGGGGATCACATCTTCCACCTACTTTTCATTCCTCTCAGAGTAAGCAGCTCAGACAGCAGTGGCCCCTGGTTTGGCCAGTGAGTAGGGAATTCTTGGGTTAATTGCTTCCCTTTTTTCTTTTACTGAGGAAATATTTATTTAACTGCTTGATTTTCTCATTTTAGAAATGGAGATATAATTTTGCATACTTTTCAAGTGCAGTAACTGGCTTAATTAAATAACATGGCTTTAAAATTATTTGAAGACAAGTGAAAATAAAATATTATTGAGCCCTGGAATATGCCTGAGCTCCAGGTTCCTCTCAAAGACAGATGAGGAAACCGGAGCTGGTGATGAGCAGCTGAGCTGTCAGAACATTCCAACCAAGCATGTCCTCATTTAGCATTCGGCTCATCTGGTCCACAGAGAATATCAGATGGGAAAACTAGTCTCACTTGGGCCTAGTTAAACCACTTAGTGATGCATGTGATTTTGAAAGAGGTATTTTAAATGAAATTTGTTTTATCTTGACCAAACTCTAAATAATTCCTTCCTTTCACCATCAGAGTTAAATCTGTGCTCTGTGGTTACACACATCTTTATCTAATTTAACAAGGAATCTTGCAACCTCATCCTGGTGCTACAATTATGCAATCTAGTGATTTCCTTATATGCACCACATTTACACAAATGATGCCATTTGGCATAATTACAGCATTTGCTGTCATTACAGTAATTACATCCGTACTCAATAATTCCAAAAAAAGGTTTTATGAACTTAATTTACAATTAATCCTGAACCCATACATCCCTACAAAAGCCAAGGCTTGGAGTTCCAGGTCCTAGGCTAAGTGAAGATAGAAGACTGTCAATTTAACATCCTCCATGTATCCACCAGAAACTCTTCAGACTCGGGACTGTAATGACAGGCAGTGTGGTATAATGGTTTAGGGTGCAGGTTCTGAAGGCTTACTGCCTGCGGTCAAACTGTGCTTCTTCTCCTTACTAGCTATCGTACCTTCCACTAGCTACTTAAGCTTTCAGTATTTCAAGTTCATCTATAAAATGGGGATAATAATAATACTCCTCTCATATGGTTACTCTGAAGAGTCTGTGGCTTAGTCCATGTAACATGCTTAAAGCAGAGCCTCTGCATGCTCAAAAATATAAACTATTGTCATCCTAGAAAGCAGACCCTCCATGCATAAACCCTTAATAAATCACCCTATGAAATGAAGGTAGTTTGCAAAACTGTTCACTTCAACAAATATATATATAAACACATACCCACTGTATTTGGATTTATACACTCTCTCTGAAAGAGGATTGATGACATCCTTAGGATAAGGAAATGTTACCTTGAGTGAGGTCTCTCCTTCTCCCGGTCTTGTGTCACTTCCTGACACTCTTCCGTCCTACTGATCCACACCTTAAGCTAATCCACATCAAGACAGTCACTTCTGGGGCTTCCTTGGTGGCGCAGTGGTTGAGAGTCCGCCTGCCGATGCAGGGGACGTGGGTTCGCGCCCCGGTCCGGGAGGATCCCACATGCCGCGGAGTGGCTGGGCCTGTGAGCCATGGCCACTGAGCCTGCACGTCCGGAGCCTGTCCTCCGCAACGGGAGAGGCCACAGCAGTGAGAGGCCCGCATACCGCAAAAAAAAAAAAAAGTCACTTCTGTTTAACAAGTAATACATTAATTATAGTGGGTTCTCAGTCTCTCCATCTGGAAGGAGTCCAAGTTCATTCTTCAAGTACTCAATCAAGCCAAAAGCCTTCATCTCCCAGCCCTGCCCTAAAATCCTGAGGAGGTGTATTTAGACTACCCCAGCTTCTACAGGAAGCAAACAGTTTGTAGAGTTTTCATGGGGAGGACAACTTCCCTTGTTCACAAGCCCTCTGTTCCCAGTGTGCATCCTAGAATCAGAAGGTGGAGTTAAAAAACATCAACCACACCATGATCAGGTTTTTCTGTTTTACTCTTTGATATCTCGTTGTGGACTGTATGTCCACCCTGTCCACTGATACTTCAGTGACTATCCTTTCATACAGTTAGACATTCACTCATTCGTCAAGGCCAACAGAGATACAAGGCTCCTGCCATATAAAGAAAATGATTTTGTTTTCATGTTTCTTACTCTAGTTATGTGTTTATAAATATTAGCCTAGGTAAGGACACCACTGGGACTGGACAAGATTCAATCAGAAGCCTTGTTGAGAGGCAAACGCCGGCAGCAAACACAGTTCTCTAGAGGTCAAGGCCAGGAAGACTCTAGGTCGCATAAGGGGATGGGATCAGAATCTAGGTGGTTCACGAAGATTGAGAGGAACAAGTGAGCACAAGGTGTCCGGCTAGAAAGCAAAAGTGCAAAGACCAAGCTATCTAAGAAAGTAGGGAGAAGTCAACAGAGGGCACCTTTCAGATCAGCACACCAGTCCCAGAAAGCAGAGGGTGCCCTCTGATCCCAGGGCAGGGGGTTTGCTCCATGGTCTTCTGCGTCGGAATAACAAATAACTCAATTAGGGGGCAAGGGTGTGAAGGACTACAAGTCTGCCTTTTCAGTATTTCACGGGCGCTGTGATTTTCTGCTCTACAGTCTTACAAATCCCTGACAGAGTGACTTGAGGGTTTATGCATGTCACAGCAAGACACTGTGAATGCTTTACTAAGCATGAACTGGAATCAGTGAATTTCTCCGTCTCTGCTATAGAAATTGTAGAATTTGTCAATCTGCCACGGAAACTTTCCCAAACAGTGCCCAAAGCGTTATTTATTTTGTAGTTTTCAGAATGTTTTTTAGAATACTAATATTTCACCTGAACCATGTTTGCTCCAATGACTGCACGTGGACAGTGCATATACCAGCAAGACTTATGGAGGAATCAGATAACCCTCCGTGGAAGATGGGAGAAAGAAATAGACATTTGCTGAAGTCCTATGATGATACTACAGCAATTCAGACCACATTCCTAATTTATTTACTTTTTAGAATTTAGTATCTTATGTTTGGAAACAGAAGGGAGAAAGTCATAGCCAGAATGCACCCACATGGTGCCTAAAGTCAGTTAAAGTGAAAAATAAAAAAATACGCCTTTAGCCGCGATGTGGGTCTTCCTGTCATAGCAAAGGCACAGAGAATGGATGACCAAAGGAACCCACCATGGCTTCGTAGGCAAATTTTGCTTTCAAATGAATTATGAAGCGCATATTTAAAGATTTTTACTAAACGGGAGCAAAAGGGTCACTGAGCAGAAAATTAGCCAGAGCTCTAAACAAATTTACCAGTTATTCCCCTCAATGTATTATTATTGCAAATAGCACTCCCATTATAGTTATAGATTGGTTTCTGACCCAGGGTCTGCCACTGACAGCTGCTGGACCCCTCTATGTTCCTAGAGATTATGTTTAATATTAGGGGTTTTCCATCTTTGTTAGCTATAGAACCTTTGTTCAAACGAAAGCTTGGTCAGTAGCCCATATAGAAAACAAAATGAAGCCAGTTGTCTTAGTTTCTTCCAACAGCTATAATAAAGTACCATAGACTGGTGGCTTATAAAAAACAGAAATTTATTTCTCATAGTTCTGGAGTCTGGAAGTCCAAGATCAAGGTTCCAGAAGATTCAGTTTCTGGTGAGAGCCCACTTCCTAAATGGCCATCTTTTTGCTGTAACCTCACCTGGCAGAAGGGACTACAGAGCTCTCTGGGGTCTCCTTTATAAGGGGACTAATTCCATTCATTAGGGCTGTCGCCTCATGACCTAATTATCTCCCCCAAAGCTCCACGTTCTAGTAATATTACCTTGGGTGTTAGATTGTCAACATAGGAATTTTGAGGGACCTCAAACATTCCAACTGTAGCACCAGTCTTATTGAGAGAAGGGTCAATGACCCATTTCTTTCCCAGTTTGCTGGCTTACCTGACCCCTGCCACAGTCCCAAGTACATAAGTGAGTCACAGGGACCTTTGTGTTACACAAGGACACAGTACATAGTACCTCAAATCCTCTCTACCTTTAAAACATTATCACTGATAGGTGACAGCTTGCTTTGGAGCCCTGACCAAAATATAGCCATCATGAAAACAGAAGCAGGACAGTGCAGTAGGGGCCCGAAAGTTAAAATCCTGTCAAGCTCAAAATAGTGTGTATCAAAACTGGTTTTAAAGAAAGAACAAGTGACCATATGTTACTGATGATTTCATTCAGTCACTAAATTTACATTTTCTGAGCACTTGCTATATATTGGTAATACAACAGTGGGAGAGACTGCATCCCCTGCAGTCTCTCCCCAACATAATCTATTTGCGGAGACAAAGGTAGACTCGCAATTACGATTGAGTGTGAGGGGTAGGTAGAGGGTGCTGTGGGAGCACCCAGAAGGGACAAGTAACCAGATTAGGAATGGTCAGCAAAGGCCTTCTAGAGTAGGTGTCTCATCTGAATCTAGTATCCAGGTATAATGAGGATGGGAGATGGAAGAGTGGAAAATGGGTAAACTTTGCAGGCAGAAAGAGAAAGTATGCAAGGGTTCAGAGGCTGGAGAGAACCTGATGGATGCAAGGAATGAGAGGAGAGACCATCAGTGGATACAAGAGAGAGAATCAGGACCTGGGCCCTCAGGAGCCACTGTATCCCACTAGAGAGTGGCCTGAGGACCACGCTCTCCCAGTGCAGAATTTTAGACAAGAGGGTACCCTAGTATCATTCTGCACACAACAGGTTTAGTCAAAGCAGAAAAGCTGAAGTTGAGTTTGAATGAGCAATCAGTTGATTATTGAAGTTGGCTGTGCAAACAGGTGATCTCGGTGAACGCGGCTTTCTCCTTGATAAAAAGGAATGAGTCCCTGCTCTACCTCACGGGGCTATAGTGAGGATCAAAGAAGGTAATGTATATGAAAGAGCATAGTATTCTACAGACCATTAATAAATTATGATGGTAGCAGCAGCAGCATTTTGGAGAAGAAACCACCAGATCAGCAGTAAATGAGGCTTCGTAGAAGATTTTGAACAATTCAAAAATCCCAAAGGGTTGTATAATTACTTATAAACTGTGAGGAAAGTGATTGAATGTTCAAGTATAGGAGGTGGTTCGGATATGCATAGGTATCAAATGGATGCATGCAGACTACTTCATCTTCTTCTTTAGTAAAAATGGTGTAATGAATTGGGGCCATCTTAGAAAAGGAGCAATACCATACAGTCATAAGCACTTAAAGATAAATTATCTTGAGATACATATTGTCTTTATTTTATAGGGAGAAAAAACAGACTGACAGATTAAGTGATTTGCTGAAAATTAGTAGGTGACAAGGTTATGAAAGTTTACATTCAAAAGTCAGGCAACACATATATTTATAACCATCTGTGGTGCTTTATTATATAGAAATAGAATCTCTCAAGGCACTTATACCAAAGTTTTGAATGTTTTGTGAAAGAAAAGTCTACAGGGCAAGAAAGTCAAACTTAAAGGTGAGGCCTGTGGTATGCGACAAGGGAAACAGCAAGAAAGAGTTCATTGTCAGTCATTTTCTCTGTTCTCTTTCACTTTCCAGATAACAGACCGATGGGAGAATCAAGGCAGTCCTCAAACGAGTCTATCTGCTCCGGCCATACCGCAGAACCTGCCCTTCCCACCCGCCCTTCACAGGAGTTCATTTCCTGACTCAACAGAGGCCTTTGACCCAAGGAAGCCTGACCCATATGAGCTCTACGAGAAATCTAGAGCCATTTATGAAAGTAGGCGTAAGTGAAAGCCACAAAAAACAAGGGTGTATTAATAACAGCTGAAGCCCTGAGAGGAGATATATTGAGGCTGAAATGATCTGGCGTGGTGATTTTATATTCTGAGGTTCAAAATGTATCTCAAAAGTAAAGCCAGCTGATCGAAACTTTTCTTTAAAAAAGAAAGAAGAAAGCCTGTCAACTCAAAAAAAGCTTATATCTTTTGGTTTTAAATTCTGTTTCCTACTTTTTTCCCCCTAAGCCCCTGAGAAAAATCAGGAATGTATTTGGGGGGCCAGGGGTGGGTAATAGGGGAAGAGGTTGCTAGTTTTATTTAAGCCACCAGATAATGAGAAGAAATGGTTGGGATTTTTATGTTTAATCTGATCTTGAATCTGAAGCCTAGATTTCCTTAGAGCCATGAATGTAGTCATTGAAGATTTTAGGAATGTGAGTAAAATGTTAGCCAAGTCCTTCCAACTCATAATGGTGAAAGTAATGGTTCCGAAAGCAGCACAGAGCAGGTACCAATCACTTCTACCTGAAATTCCACTTCTTGTTTAATGCACTGGGGCCCATTTGAAAGTTAGCTCGTAAAATATCGTGTAAGCACTTGTCATCCTATTTGAAGGTCTTCTAAAATTATTTCATTGTGCTTTATAAATATTAGAAAACAGAGCTTTTTAATATTGCATATACGTTCATTGTGCCTCTTTCCACCATCTCACAGGTCATCTCTTTTGAATGTTAGAGGACAGGAATCCAAACGGCATGAATGTATAATATATGAGGAGAATACACAGTACAATATGAACTTGAGTAATGGATTGAAAAAACTAGCCTAGTGAGAAGGGTTTGGTTCCGGGCGCTCCCATTTACGGTCTGCTGATTTCCTTTGTTTTGGTGTTCCGCCAGTGTCTTCTTTCCAACTTTATCATCTGAAGCGTGAATAGCAAGTTTTAAGTTGTGTGTTATCTCAGAGGATCTCAAATCTGCTTACTCTTTGATGAGCCCAGGGGCTGAGAATTATACCCCCAGCTGGTAAGGGGAAAAGTAGACATATCCCTTTGCCCATCCTCTACAACTCTGTAAAAGTAATTTTGGTTGATAAACTAGTTAGGACAGCAGGCCATTGAGAAATCATCTTCATCAAAATGAACCTCCACCACCCCGCCCCTCTGCCACTTTATAAAAATAATTGGCTATGTCAGGCCTGCTGTATTTGATTCTTCTCCTTCTGGCAGAACGACTGAAATGTCTTTAAAGGGCTGTAGAGTTAGAATGTTTTTGCTGTGATAGAATTAGAACGAAGTAGGCATTTTTCACTGTATAATACAGGGTATGAATTCAGGGTATTAATGGTCACTATACTGAAAAAACTTGACAAGATTTCAGCACAGTTCTTAATACTTTTTCTGCTTCGATAACCAAGTATTTATTGAATACCCACTTGGCCCTTAGTACCATGAGGAGATTCCAAAGTTGAGTAAAATGTCCTGCTCTCACGAATTTAACTGGGAGACAAGAAGAATAAGTATAAACAAGTAGAGATCAGGATACAGGTGAAGTTCTAACTCAGAAGGTGGAATATATCATCCTCCTGTCCTTGGCTTGTTGAATTCTGTGGTTACCTGTAGGGAGCGGCAAGAGATGCTTCCTCCTGTTTTTGTCCCTTCATTAGTCATTTGTTCCCATCCTTTTGCTGTTTCCTGACCAATGCAAGGCTTTATTATTCAGGACAAAGGCAATGTTGGTATTTATTCCGTCTTTTCTCTATGGTGTCTGATGCTGTTGTGTCCTCAGTTTGTGAGCAGGAATTGTGCATGACCTTCTTTTCAACCCTAAACGAATTCCGATTTCTTTAGCCAGCCCCTGCAATGCTCCTTCTCTTCATTGCCTTTCCGCTCCTCACCTGTAACAAACCTAGCAAACCAATCTGCCTTAACCTCCCACGACTTTATCAGTCCTCCTCTGGGAGCTTTGTACCCCCTTTGCTTTGCGTCCTAAGCCACTTGAACAACAAAATCCTGACTGCCCGCGGAGCCCTGCATGTGCTCTGCAGCTGCCTCTCTCATCTCACAACCCCCCCGCCTCACTTCTTGCTTTCTCAGCTCTCTCTAATGTTTCTAAGGTCACGAAAATGTTTTCAGGGTCACAACTCTTAGGAGCCAAAAGAGGGCAAGCTCATTTCCTTTCCCATCCTTCTCTTTCTATCCTGTTATTTCATGACACTAAATGGAGTGTGAATGAAACACAGAAATCATGTCAAGGTAAGAAAAACTCTGCCCTGAAGATGAAGGAAACCAAAAGAACACGACACCACTTTCTCTAATCTCTGGATAGCTAATCGGTTCAGTCTGTTTTTCTCAGTTTCACATGCCAAGGTCTTGATAGAACAGAACAGACCTTTGCCCTCTATATACAACCTGTTGTATACAACCCTCTATATACAACAATTCTCTCATTTAAAGTTTCAGAGCAATGCTCAAAAAAAAAATGTTTTGTAATGAATGGAGGGAAAGCTCAATCTATTTCTCATCATCTTCAGATAGGGTTTTCTTTTAATGACCATGAAATGCATGCATCTAAACAAAAGACCCATATTTGAAATTTTGTGAACCACTCTATTCTTATTCTTTTGAATTACCTGCATAACATTTAGCTTTGGCTCTATTTATTCTGTGTCCCCAAACTTTTTCCTTGGAGAAAATATAGTGGGACCACAGAAAGTACGGAAGGGAATCCTAACCAAAGCTGTCTAAACCAAGTCCTTTGACATTTTCCCTGACCTGTAGTGATCTCATGGTATCCTCCTTTACAGCTAGGTCTAATGCTGAACAGAATTTTTGCATTCACGTTCAAAACTGGGTTGCAGTAACCAAATAAAAGAATGTACCTCCACCCACAAGCTTCTGCTATACAGAGCTACAGAATGTTTGTTATATCCAGGCTGTCAAGAAGTATTTGGATTCAAATCACTAGTCCCCTGCAAATGATGGAAATTTATCAAATGGTGTAAATGATGCTGTGCCTCATTTGGCTCGTAATTAGATTATGCTGACACTTTAATAGGCATGTACAAGACATCTTAATAAAGATGTGTTCCTGAAAAAAAAAATGCTGTGATTTTAAACAAAGACAACCGTAGGATACTAGAGCCACAGGAAACGGAACATGGCAAGTACAAGCTTATGAGGGGAAGGCTAGAAACACCTCCTGTCTTCATAAGATCTTCTTATGATGACATGGGACTTGAGAGGAAGAAGATTCTTCCACCCAGCAGGCAAGGCAATGCCTCTGACTTCAGAGCATCAGGCAGAGTGCCCAGAAGTGGCGTCTTCAGGCTCCACATCAATTAACAAGAATGTGTGAAACAGTATGTGTCTAGACTCTGCTGCGTGCTCCACAAGAGAAAAATCATGAGACATCATCTCTGCTCACATGAAGCTTACAGTGAAACTGGGGACAAAAACATAGGAAAGCAATTCCTGAATGACATTGTATTATATAACAGAGCAAATAAGTATCAGTATTTTAACAAGCAAAATGTGCAGTAAATATAGACAATAGTTTAAATATAATTAGACAGTTAGACCCATAGTTTCCCGTTCCATGTGCAAAATTGATATTTAATCAGGAGAATGTCTTGTGTTAAATATCTTTTAATTATCAAAAATGTCATTGGTTCTTATTGGAGAGCTCCCCGCAAAAAGAAAGTTTTTCCCGATTGACTTCATTCCACCTAAGCTTAAAGCTTGTATACATAATAGAAGAACCATGCCTAAATAGTCTGCAGAGAAATTTTGACCAGTGGCGTTTCTGGGTTTCCATGTTAGTTATTCAACTAACATGACCCTATTATCATTACCAGCAATTTCCAGAAAGTAGCAAAAATCTACCCACCCTCATCTCTATCTAGTACTTTTAGATAAATCTCACTTTCCTTTGTGTAATAGCCTCTGTTGATAATTGACTTCTTGCTGTTTCCGTTACATGGATTTTTAAAAATTGAAAGCAAAGAAAAATACCCACCTTTGTGTAATGAGATAAGCCATGGTATTTATTTATTTATTTATTTTTTGCGGTATGCGGGCCTCTCACTGCTGTGGCCTCTCCCGTTGCGGAGCACAGGCTCCGGACGCGCAGGCTCAGCGGCCATGGCTCACGGGCCCAGCCGCTCCGCAGCATGTGGGATCTTCCCGGCCCAGGGCACAAACCCGTGTCCCCTGCATCGGCAGGCAGGCTCTCAACCACTGCGCCACCAGGGAAGCCCAAGCCATGGTATTTTTTATTCCTCCTTTTCCCATAAATCTCATGCAAGAAAGACTAATTTTCTTTGCAGTTACAAGAGGAAAGGCTTGAATTGTCTGGGTTTGTATGCTAACATTTTAACTGTTGGGCTCCGTACACCATTTCTAACATTGGGGGGAAAAGACTATTTCTAAAGGCCCTCACTGCTTTCCGTCCTCCCATCTCCTCCTGCCATTCTTTCTCTATGTGTGATTGCATCATTGCTTCATCCACATCTGTCTGATATGATAGGAAACATTTTATAGTGGCCTGCTTACCCGTAAGACTGCTTATTGCCAGTTTGCCTGAGACATTCCTGCTCTGCATTGTCCTGGCATAATTAATAGCTCCCCTTTCACGCTCCAGACTGTCCTCATTTGATATGACTTCCGTTTACTACATAGTCTGTTAAAGAGATAGACATCATTACTGTCCAAGAAAAGCATACATCTAAATTTGAATACAAATTTTAAAGCCTACTCAGATAAATAATTTCTTTCAAGCTAATTGGTTTGGCTCCCTGAGTTTTTGTCCGTACATGTTTTATCCCTAATTTCAGGTAAAGATGTATGTGGTAACTTGTTTTGGTAGCCAAACACCCGGTGAACTCCTTCCATACCCAGAAAACCATACAGATGTGCAAGTCTAGAGCACAGCAAAGTAAGTAGAAAATGTATGGCAGTGAGGCCTTACTCATTTAAGTGGAGAAGAATTCTCATTCTTATCACAGAGAATAGATCAGGTTCATCATCACAATCACAGGACCAAAAAGGAGTTAATTTTGTCTGTCTTTCTGCTCCTCAGGAAGACTGTACGCACATAACTGCGGAAAAATGGCTATCCTGGCTCCTCTTTCTAATGCCAAACAAGGCAATACAAAGTGTTTCCCAAAGAAAATGAGTATGGCTTACTTTGGAATCTTACAAAATAAAGTTTTGATCATGCTAAGGAACTTGATCATTTAGGAATGAGGGCCCTGTCCTGCTGCTTCACTTTTCTTTAAGTCACACTTATTCTAAAGTTTTATCTTGTCACCTCAGCTCATGGGACCATTTCTTGGGCATACTCCCCACTGCAGCCTCAGAAGCTGGAGCAGACAAGCTGAGGAAAACCAAAAGAGGCGGAGAAGAAAAATCCTTATTCCCTGAAACTCTTCCCTAATGATTCTGTCCCTTGGTATGAACCCAAGTTGAATTATGACTGAGGTTGTCCAAACTTTTTTTTCTTCACATTGAACCTTGGTTATTATGAATAAACAATTTATGAGGTACAACATGTCCAAACTCCTTTGCAGTAAGACATCACTCAAATGTAGATCATAAAAGTGTCAGGGATCCATATGGTATAATGTGCCTTCTGGTAGGACCTCTTTAGAACAGAAATTCCTCTGGAATTTCTTCAAAATGAGCTCACACAATCAGTCTTTCTTTTGAGAAATTAGGAAGCATTAACCCATAATAAGCAATGAGTATTGTACCAAAGGTGGTAATCAAGAGTAACCACAGGCCAGTTAAAGAGCATAATGGAGGAACGAGACTTTTTAATACTATATTTGAAATGAAATTATAATTGATAGCTGATCAGAAATGGACCATTGTGTTTGTCACATCTGTGGCCTTTATCCTGCACTTTTGTTGTTCATTGTGGAATTCTTTCATTGTTCAGTATTGTAATGTGCATATAATTCATAACTTATCCCAAATGGGTGGTGGTATTTCTAAACCATCTGTTTTTTCTGCTGCTCTTTCCTTGTTATTAGTGAGCAAGAGTTGTAGTTTGCACTGTCTCCCATCCTAACGGCAGAGCTATTTGGGAAGCTGGGGTGGTGTAAAAATACCGTACACTGCAGCACAGCGCTCGAGGCTCTAAATGGAAACTGATGGTGGGAACCATAACACATATGGTAGATGCACTGGGCTCAGAACCAGAGCTGTGAAGCTTCTGCTCGAGCCTTCTTTTCTCCATTCTCCTTTGCCCTTGTGGTTGAATACTCAATACAGTCAAGCTGGAAACATCAATAGGTTTAGGGAAGGTTTTGATCAATTCATGGCTGCGCAGCTATTCAGTGATCATGAAAGGCTGCCTTGAAAGGCTGCCTTGGCTTCTAGGAGAACATCTACACATCTGAACGCTGCTAGATCAAGCCCTGGCCAAATGTGCTTGGACACTGTTGGTGTCCAGTGGCCTGTGGGTGGCCCAGTACTACCCGCAGATGTTCTCTGGAGCACTATTTTATTTTAGTGAAAAATGAAAATAAGATGATATGTAAATGTTAAGACATTTTTATCAGTGACTTTAATATCAGAATCATAAAAAGACCAGAAAAATTTAATAACATTATCATTTAAAATGTCCTCAACTGTACTATGAAGGTTAATTTCCTGTACCTTGTTCAGGAAAACCGTTATTGCTGTCTTGAGTATAATTTATGTTATGGTTTGATCTGTGGAAAAAAAATTGCCTTTCAGTCAGAGTTTCTGATACATCACATTATGTGTCACTTTGCAGTTATAGTATGTTGAAAAAGAGATCAGTAAGTCCAGTTAAGTTTGTTTGCCATTTTTCATATGTAAATTTTAATTTGGAAATCTAATTTCAAAATTAGTATTTTTGAGGGCTTCCCTGGTGGTGCAGTGGTTGAGAGTCCGCCTGCCGATGCAGGGGACACGGGTTCGTGCCCCGGTCCGGGAAGATCCCACATGCCGCGGAGCGGCTGGGCCCGTGAGCCACGGCCGCTGAGCCTGCGCGTCCGGAGCCTGTGCTCCGCAACGGGAGAGGCCACAACAGTGAGAGGCCCGCATACTACAAAAAGAAAAAAAAAAAAGTATTTTTGAGTAGCTTTGTAAATAACTAGGGTATTATATTTCTAGCAGTTCATTTTAGTAGAGAAAGAAATCGCTAAGTAATAAAGATAGTGAAATAAAAGTTAGGCTGGAGACACGTTTTTCCCATGTATTTTAGAAATTAGATTCAATCCGATAGCTTATAAATTTATTTCATTCAGTAGTTTAAAACTTAATGCTCCGGGAATCAGACGGGGGATAAAACGGGGTGGAAATGTAAGAAGTAAACTCTAAAATCAGTCCTTGATTGAAAGTTATTTAGTTTGTCAAAGCATTTTGGTGGTAGCACAAGTTGACAGTGTAACCCAGAGTACTTCCGTGAATAAAAATGAGGCCATCGGGGCTGCAGTAAACTGAGTCTAATTGCTGATGGCAAGTAGGTCCTAGTGAGATTATGATAATGTAAAGTGTCACCTTTACAACTAATGGAAATGTTTAGAAGGGAGCAATCTTCCATCCCTGTTACAGCTCCATCTTTATGATGAAACGATATTTCTCAATTCATAATCCTAAGCAGTCACAGTAAACATGGAGGTTTTTAAAAAAAGTAACAGTTCTGCTGGAAAACTAATTTACTGTGAAAAGACAGATCGCCTGGAAGGGAGTCTGATTCTCCTCATGAGTGAGGCTAACTGTGCAGGGTACCCTGGGGAACAGCCTCATTATCGCCCTCAAGAGGCTTCTGTTTTATTTTTTGTGTTGAATAGTATAGAACTCTTTATTCAAAGCAAACAAAGCTCAGTAAGAAAGCAATCAGAATTTGGTCTTCTTTTAAGTTTTTAAGTTTAGTGATAAAATACCCATTTTTTTCTTAGTACATATATTTTCTTACATATATTATGGAATATATATAGTATTTTACACTCATGTCCATAAACTTTTATGTTATTTGTAGCATAGATGACATCATAGTTCTCATGAAGGATCCCTATTGCTAATATAAACGAATTTTACTCAACTACTTATACATAACTTCAACTATCCAAATAATTGTAAGTGTCAAAATATTTGGACTGGTGTACATAAATCAACATAATCATTGATTGAATTTTTCACTTTTCAGTGTTTGATGGCACAATATCATAACATGATTTCAAAGACCTTTGTTTATTGTGTGTCTATTTGGGGTTCTGAATTGACTTTACTTTCAAATAAGCATTCTTATAATGAGAATCAGAGCTTAATGTTTGGAAATAATGATCTCTTTTTCCATTCTGATCTACAAGAATTCAGATTTTTGCCTGCATGTGAAAGAAATACATTTACAGACATATTCATGTACATAAAACCAGGTAAATCTGTCCACTAACTTCCATAGATTTTAGAGAGAAAAAAATCATTAAACACGAGAACAAGAATGGGAGTGAGTTCTAATTGAAACCAAAAAAAAGTAAAGATGAATTTTAAAATGCCGTAAATGAATTTCAATTTTAATTACCCATTTTCCCATACAGAACAAGTGCCACCAAGGACCAGTTTTCGAATGGATTCCTCTGGCAAGTATTCTTCAGTACTCACAGTCCTGTGAATGAAACGTCTTGCATTCTGTGTAACAAATCATTCTTCCGAGTAGCATCAGTTTATTAGTATATAATCACCATGTTAATTTCACTCACCCGCATAAGCACATATTTAAGGTAGAGGGCAAGTCTCACCACGTTTGGCCTGATGGCTGCCAAGGAAACAAAAGACAAAGGAAAATAGTCATATTCATTAAATTCTTTCATAAAATGCTTTAGTAAAAGATTAGATTAAAAGCCAGGTACCAAAGAAAGCCACCAGATTGACTAAATCCACAATAGCCAATACAGAAGTTTCTAGACCCATGTGGCTATTAGGCGCTTGAAATGTGGCCACTCTGAATTTGGATGTGCTGTAAGACGTGCGTAAATCCACACCAGATTTCAAAAACTTAGTACTAAAAAAAAAGAAATGTATAATATCTCATTAATTATTTTTTAATATTGATTAATGCTTAAATATTTTGGATATATTAGGTTAAATGTATATTATTAAAGTTGATTGTACCTATTTCTTTTTAAAATGTGGTCAATAGAAATGTTTAAATTACCAGTGTAACTTACATTTTGTTTATTTTGGACAGCACTGGACTAGATAAATAGAAATAAGAAGCTAGAGTATCTCAAGAGATTTGCAATTTAGACATTTCCGAGGACTCATTAAAAATATTCCTAATGTAGAATGAAATTCTTTTCACATCAAGTAAATACCTGTATCAATTTAATTTGTTTAAACCATGCCAATTATAAAAGTGCTACATTTCAATAGTATTTTAAGTTAGAATAGAATAGCATAGTTTCAAGTTTAAGAGCTTTTAGTTATAATAAATTAATTTACTTAAAAGAAAATTTTTGACCTAATCTGAAAATAGTTATTAATTTGGTTTGGACTGAAATATTTAATGTTATGGAAATGAAGGAGGTAAAGGAATATTCATATTTTCTTACTCTTAGGAAGTGCTTTGAACAGCAGGTTAGACTGGATGGAAAGTGAGAACACTGAAACGATTGTAGAAAAGAACGTTTCATAACAATAGTACTGTTTCAGGCCTGTGGGCTTACAGCACACATCTCTAGAGTGTTTCCATGACGACAGCTCATTATCCATCTCAGCATGTTCTAACGCCCCTTGGAGAATATATGTGCTTGAGATCATTTCATTCTGTAAGTTTCCATGTCATTTTTTTTGGATATGTAGAAAATTTGGGAGATGTTGCTTAGCATTGTGTCCCCGAATAATGTCTAAAGTATTTGTTTAGCTTGGTCTGAAAATGTTTAAAGCATAATTATTCTTAGTATATAAGAATATATGACTGTAAACTCCTTGTAATTTTGAAGAATATCCTATAACCAGAGGAAAACTGAGGCCTAGTGATTACAGCTGCAAAACGAAAGCAGGATTTAATTTGAGATTCTAAACCTCAGCTTCCTGGCCACAGCAAGCACGTTTCTTGAAAATTTCAGCTTCTGAGGGTACTTTATTAAAAAACAAAAGAAGAAAGAGAAGAACTCCTCAAGAGCTTACATTACCTTGATATATGCACAAAATGATATTTTTACATTTCAAGAAATATACATTACTTGAAAGAGAAAAATTATAGTGTAGTTTGAGTGTATTATACTACTATGCAATCCAGATTTTCAGGAAAAGAACAATCCAAATATTTTGTTCAGTGTCTATACAAGTTAGGAAACTATTTTGGAAAATTATGACTCCATCCAAAATAAGTAGAACTCCTATACTATTTCTCATATTTATAAAATGTTCCTTATCAAATTGTGTGTCATGATTTTTAATCGGATAAATTTATCATAATTATAAGGTATTTTACCAACTTTAGCTGCAAAAGATGCTTAGGTACAGAGGTAAAATTGACGGTAGGAAGTCCTAATGTAATTATGAAGCTAAGTGAAAACTCAGTAGAAGAAGAACACTGTGGTTTATTAGGTACACTAGATTGGCGAGTATGTTAAAACAAATTCAAGAAACATTTAAGCAACTCCTACACGCTGTGCATATGGAATATTATAGATAGACAAAGATAATTATGCCATCACCAAGGGAGAATGTTAATAAGAGCAATGAATCCATAGTCAGGACCTTTCAATGAACAATCCCACCCAAAGGCAAGAAAACTAGGGTGTGGCGTATCACGGAAACCAAGAGTAGAAATCCCTTCTGGAAGGAGACCTTTTCTTGTTTAGAAACAATAGAAATCAGGGGTCATAAAGGGTGCCTCGACAGTATCAAATGGGACACAGAAATCAATCACAATGAGAATCACAAGAAAAAAATGGCCATTGGATTTGGTCATTAGGATGTCATCAAAGACCTTAAAGAGAGCAATTCAGTAATGCCAAGAGAACAGAAACCAGACCGTCAGGAGTAAGTCAGACATGAGAGAGAGTGAAGGCTTCCGTAGAGACCACTCTTTCAAGAGAGAAATGGATGGGGAGAGCAAGGGAGTATTTCAGATGGGAAAATCTGAGTTTATTTGAAAGCTTTGGTTATTTGAAGAGAACCAAACAGAGAGTGGGAGATGGCTTCTACTATGGCTAAAACATGTCTGGCCACATTCATATTACCAAAGGTATAAAGAGAAAAAAGTAGAGAGAAGGGATTATTTTAAGACAAAAATGTGTTAGTTATTTACCTGGTAATGTTAGATTTGATCAATAAAAACTATTTAATTCTTGTTTAATTCATTTTGTATCTAGAGTGCATTGGAAATCCAGATGCCAGGGACGTGTTTTTTTTTTTTTGGCAGGGGCATATTTAATAACCACCTTTGATTCTTGATTCCTTCCTCGTACTGTCTTTTCTAGATCTCTTTCCAAGGAAAAGCCAAAAATTTAATACTTTTTCAAGAGGAAAAATTGAATGAATTCATTATCTGTGTCAAAATGTGATAATAAGCCTGTGGTGCTTATGTTTAATTAAAACATGAAAGGGAATTCAAGTACCAAAATTTAATTGACGTGTTTACAGCAGCATTCCGTGTGCCAAATTAATCCATAAAAATGCCATTCTTTGCATTTTTGAAGCTTGAATCCATTCACAAAATTAATCAGTTGTGTTCAGTCACCCATCCTTTTTCCTGAAGCGGTGCACAGAACCGTGTCTTTCAAAAGCTAGACCAAGGGTACGTATAGCATGTGAAGTCTTCCTGGCGTCTTAGTACAAAATAAGAATCAGCTTTTGAAATTCTGCTTTTCTTTATTATGACGGAGGTTACCCTGCTACCTGGATGTAGCTTTTTCAATATTATTGAGAGCCCAGGATTAATCAGGACTTGTAAATTCCATTTCTGTAGCTTGCCACCGTGGTCATGCAAAGTCCCACCTGGGACGAGGATCTTAAGATGCATTATTTCATAATGCCTGAGGATCCTAGGACCCAACTTCTAAGGAACAAGCAACACTGGCCATGGCTAACCATTGAACACCAAAGAGTTTTCTGACTCTCTTAGTCCATTTCTTCACAATGACTGCCTCATCTTGAGTTGCACCAAGAAATGCCTGAGAGCACCCCTCACAGTTCTGCGAAAAGGAAAAGAAGAAGAAAAAGAAAAAAAGAGCACAGATACAGACTGAACACAAAGACAGAAGAAAAAAAAAAAGGGATGTTGGTAGGGGCATGATTGAGTGACATCCAGAGTGACTCAGGTACCACTAGGTGTCCCCAGACCCCTTCATCTAACAGCCTGCCAGGTGCATGGTTTGCAAACCAACTGGAGAGAGGGGTGAGGATTGTTAAATTCTATAACAGTGGGGTGAAGAGTTGCCCTTGAATTTCTTTGCTTTAAGTCCTTGCATTGACAGGGGAAGAGATAAAGCATGATAGCAATCATTTTAAGTATGTCATCAGACCAGAAGAGCAGCTAAAGGAGAGTATCAGAAACACTAATCTTTCAAGAGAGCTAACAAAGCAGGAAGGAAGAAAAGTAATGTTTCCAGCTATGTGCATATAGTGTTAGTTATTTTCTAAAGCCAGACTCATATGGATGGGCGAAGGGAGGGAGAAACACAGGAAAAATTCTCTTTCTGAAAGCTCTTATTTTCCCTAAGCAATAACAAAAAAAAGAAAAAGAAAAAAATAAACTGCCTTAAGGCACAATCCATCATTTAAACTTTTTTTTTCCAGTTGACTATTTCTCTTAAGTTTCCACGCCCTGCAGCCTCTGAGTCTGTGTTCAGAATTAACAAAGAAATAAAAAGTAAATTACATCTGCAGGCACACTTCTCTAACCGGTCTCTTTTTGCCTCTCTACGGGCACATGTGCCATGAAGCTGGCCGTCTTGGCCTGGAAGAACGGAGGGTGAAGATGACGTGGTTGGCATATATCACCCTATATTTGAAATCAGAGTGGTCAGAGCAGTAGTCAGGGGATCGGAATGTCACCAAAATGCACACAAAGAATAGGGGGAGGGAGATATATTCCCTGCTTACATCTTCAGAGTTCTTCAGAGTTAAATAAAATTAACTAGCAAACATAGATCTATATTTTTCTCCTAAATATAAAGGAGTCCTGAGTCATTCATTAAGGAAAAGCTTTCCAGTTCTCCCAGGAATCACAGCATCCTCTGACACGACAGCTCCCTTGTACCTTGGCACATCTCAAAAATGCCATTACTGGGATTGTTATGATTTCAGCATTTTCTTGGGGGAAAGTTTTCCTTAGCAAATGGATCACACAGTAAGGTCCTTGCAGAGCTGCTCATGCAATATGGATTGGTGCTAAAGCCACTGGAGGAACAATTTCTCACTTACCATACTCAGCAGCGATGCAAAAATGAGACTGTCTACAAGTAAGTGGAAGGTTCTGGTTAAACATACGCTAGCTGTATCATTTTGAATGTCGAAAGTATATCGTGCTCTCTTTGTGATTTTTATGTATATATGGTCTCGAGTCCTCTAAGCTTAAAGGAACCTAGAGAAGAGATTGATGGGAGCAGCCATATAACCAAGTTTTAGAGGTTTGAACGGCGACTGGGTATTATCTGTCGCCCTCCCCTCTCCCCTCGCCTTTCTGCCTGTGTTGGGAGAAATACAGGTACCTGCCATGACTGTAGGGCTGCTCCACTTGCCTCCAGAGTCCTGAAGGTTTAGCACACACCCCAGTATGTGATTTCATATATAATGTTGTAGACCTCGGAATAAACTGAGTTCAAAAGTCAGTTGAGACTTGTAGAGTGTAGGGCAAAGTTTTCATTTTCCTTTTACCACTCAACTCTAACGAAGTGTTTAAGAGGAACTGACTTTTTCTAAGTTGTCGTACCTTTAAAATATGAATGATTATACAATTCATAAAGGATGACTAATGGATGTGGAAATCCAGTTGGTTATTCTTCTTTGAGTTTTATATTCGTCACTGAATGGGAAAGACTTTGGTTATACATGCACCTGGTCCTAAAAGGGCACGAAAGTCATAGAGTCTTGGACGATGTGGACATATATACATACGTACTTATATGGCTGATTCAGCTTTTTTTTTTCCTTGAGAACACTAGACACACAATCAGCTTATGCCTACATTTCAGAAGTGAGTGACTTGCCTTTCACATATCACTGGAAATGCTTTGCTCAGGTTGGTGGGCACAAAGGCAAGCCCTGTTCTGTTGTGCTTTGTTTGCTGCATCACTTCAGCAGCTCCACTTACTGTAGAGTCTGGAAAAGATTTGCCTGGCCATCACTTATTGAGTGTCTCTCTCAACTATGGCTATTACTATATACCCAGATGGCTCAGACATAAGCTTCCTGTCTCATGAGGATTCTCCTCTGAAATCCCATCCCAGTTTCCAAAACCATTCTGCTTAAGCAAGGAGAATTTAACTTAATACTTGCATCTATCAGTTCTAATACCTCCTTTAAACCATTAAGGCCCAAAGATCACTAAATACTTCTTAAGTAGAGGATGGCATTAATAAGCATTCCCCAAAGTTGCTAATCATTGATTAACATCCTAACAGTGGCCTTGAAAGTATGCACAGCCCAGTCATGATTGAGACATTTGCCCCTGGGGAAGGTTCAAAGGGCCAGGGGCAGGGGGTAAGGTTAAATCATATTTAAATCATATTCTCTTTAAAAAGTTAAAATATTTCTTATGGTTTTAGTTTATTCTAGGGTTGAAAAAAAAATGATAGAAGAGTTTCCCAGCTTATTTTTAAGTACATTTCTGTTCTTTCAGCTAACTACAGAAAAATATCCCTTGTCTAGTTTATTTTGAATATGTTTACAGAGTCAGTAGTGAATCTACTAGTGGCTTCCACATTTTAAAATGTTTGGGGGATAAGAGTTCACTTAGATCCAGGCAAATTTCTGTCCCTGAGTTATGAAAAACCTAAAGGAGTTTGTCAGAAAATCAAAACTTCACCCAAACCTCAATAGAGAAAAGTTCAGATTTTCTATTTTCTAACTCTAACAATTTTAAAAGAGACACCTTCTATTAGGTGTAAGTTTATATCCCCCTCCCCTACACACACTAAATGGGACACATCAAGTCATAAACAGCTACTAGTAAATTACTAAGTAGTCCTTTACCAGGTACTTCCAGGGCGTTGCCATCTGTTCTCTCCTACTTCTAAAACAATCGTTCTAGTCAGGGTAACATCGCCAAAGTGACAGCCAATCTTCTTGAGGGCAATCTCAATCCTTTCAGGAAGATGAAGAATTACGGAGGCATTGATTTTTCTTTTCACTCAGAAAATTTGTGTGCTCTTTCTGCCTATGGCAATACCCTAGTAATGCCCTTGGCTGGTCAGTGCTAATCCAGAGACTACCTAATTTTGGAATACCGACTTTTTTGTTACCATATTTTTTTTTCTTATCCTCTGTGCTTTTCACCGACTCTAACGGCACTCTCATTAATCACACCCACAAAATTAATCCATCATCGGCGTGTTCAGTCCCTTGCGGGTTGGGGGGAGGCAGGACTCATCACTCAGTGGGGTCTCCTCTATGCCAGGTCCGGATTACAAGGAGCTGGATGTTCACCTTCGCAGGATGCAGTCTGGATTTGGCTTCAGAATCCTCGGGGGAGATGAGCCTGGACAGCCTGTGAGTTGAATTCTCTTTATTTCCACACTTTGGGTTATATTGTGTGTATGGGTGAAGGGAAAATTCATTCAGTGTGATATAAAGAAAGAAATCTTTTAGGACTCACATAAAAGTTTTTTGAGGCTTGCTTTATTTGGTTTTTTTCTTGGTATTTAAGTTTTCAAAACATGCCAGTGTTTCCATGTCATCATAAATCAATGCACGTTTCATGAAGAGAGGGACATTGCTCTTTCTTAAAATGGATTGGATTCCTCTTCAATATTTCAATGATTTACTTGTATTGGACCCCTAGTCTCTCTGGGCAGCAGCTCACAGATAAACATGCAGTGTGACAGAAGATATATGCGAGGAGATGACTTGCAACAGCAGAATGGTGTATGTTTTCAACCACAACTACAGGGGAGAGAAAACACGGGGATAAACAGAAGTAAAATCAAGTTCAATGCTGCAGAATCTCGCCAGGTTTGAATTAGGGGATTACCATGAGAGGATGTTCAGGAAGCCAACTTCAGTTGGCACAATATTGGGAATTTGCGAAGGGCTCTGGAGAAATTACATATATGATACATCAGAGTGACTGCATAAAATAACAATATTCATTAATACACAAAAAAAACACAGCAAAGCGAGACTTGTGAGCATGTATTAAAATAACAGCCATAAAACACTCATTGTAAAAGACATGTCTTAAGTGGTACCCAGTGTGACTATGTCAGGTTCATAAAAGGTTCATAAATGGTCCCTAAGCACTGAAATACGGTCAGGTCCCTTCTCATACATAAATACAAGTAAAAGATTAAACTGTAAAATAAATGTAAGGGGAAACAATGAAGTTCCAGTTCTTCCCGTAATGCTTACTTCAATACAGTCTTTGAGATACACAGTTCTTACTTTGCTGGACTCCTGCCACCTCCATAGGCTCATGCTTTGTCTGCTTTGTGGATAAACTAGCACCACATTTGTAGCACCGTCTTCTCTTCGCCCGTCTCCCCCTCTTCAGAGATAGAAGGGACTGCATCTCCCCCTCTTCAGAGATAGAAGGGATTGCATGACTGAGTTATAGGAAAGGCATAGTGTCAGCTGACTCCAGAAGGGAAAGGTCTAGCTGATCTTGGCCTGGCACAGAAACTATAGAATTGTTACCCAAATGGAACACATCGCTGAGAATGAAGCTCAGGTGTTTTGAGTGCAGCCGGTGGGTACCGCCAGCCTCAGGACAGCTTTCTGCCGGGTCGGTACACAGGTTCCCGGGTTCCCAGCCCTTCTGAACATTGGCTTTACACTCCTGAGTCCTTTCTCCCCTCCGGTGGGCAGGCATTCAGTATTTATGATAAACCTCTTCAGATTACGTTTTGCTGGTTATCCTCATTGTGTTTAGATTTACTCTGGTTTATTCTTTCAATTGAATGATTTAAGACACGCTCAGGCTGCACGTTACAATTCTGACAGTGAAACCATAAAGCAGAAGCCTAAATCTCCCTGAAGCATTCAAAGCCAGAATATAGTGTCTTGAAGACCAGAATGTTGCACCTCAGAAAGATTATATCAGGAAGGGTAAGTCTACTGTAAATATCTCCCATATGCCTTTCCTTCCTGCTTTCCTCCACTGTAAGTCCAGAGATAATATACAAACAAAATGCACTAGCCTCAGTTAATTGCTGATGTGCTACAAAGGGAGAGGCGCCTGACGTGACTGGGTCCCCACCCGCAGGAGGTCTCATAAATTATATCAAATGGGTTCCTGCCTTTATATAGACAAAATGGTATTGACATCTCAGGGTGCGCATTAAACACGACAGCACGGCTTTTGGCTAATAATGAACAGCAGGACTCCAGCTCAAACAAGCATATGGGCACTTTTTCCTGCAAGAGGAAATAATTTTCACAGTTAACTAACAATAGAAATAGAAAGAAATGATAAATTGCTACAAAGCAATGATAATGGGATTTCCAGCTGTGAGCTGCAAAGACATGGGAAGGCATTAAGATGGAAAGGCTTGGAAAACACTGCAGTGGAGAAAGGCCTGTGTGGAGAAAAACTGTTCATGGAAAGAGAGAGGCGATGATAGACAGGGGCCTTGGCATGCGAGTCCGGTGCGAACTTGTGGAAGAGTTTCAGAAGGCTAGAGCTGGAAATCTGCTTGCCACCTTGTCAAGTCGCCCTGGGCTGTAATTATTGCAGATCAGACCTGCTGGGTTTAGACTGCCATTAAGTAGTGTGGGAAAGAATTAAAGGACTGAAAAGGTGGTTTTGGTTTTGTTTGTTGCTTAGTTTTGGTTCTCTGTTCTGTGTTAGTTTTTTCCCCTGGCTTACGGGGATATCAGCCACTTGAATGTGAATTGCTGTTATTTCATATCAAATACATCACTTTGTTGTGCCTTCACAGCCTTTAAGATAAAGTGAAGTTGTGGAGTTTTTGGTTCTTTTGGTTTTTTTTTTTTTTTTACAAAAGATGGTTGGAAAGATAAGGCCAGGTCACTTGTTTGGGGGGGTGTCTGTGTGGAGGGGTCTTTCTTGATCTGTTTTGCCACCAAGCTGTTTCTTCAGGGCCAAAGCAAGAGAGGCAGGATAAAGAACTCCTCCAAGGGCAATGAGAAAGCTGCTGAGTGGGTCCTCAGAGGTTGAAGGATCCAGTGAGGTCAGAGGGATGTGCTGAGTAGAGCGAGGCCAGTGTTGGCTGGGAAGGCTCACTGGCCAGTATAGCCAGGGATCAGCAAGATCAGAAGGAAAGTATAGCCTGATGGGTCAGGGAGCCCAGGCCATGCACTCAGCAGACCTGGAAAGTGACCAGTACGATGGGGCAGGAGGCTCAAGCCAGGCACCCGAGGGAAAGTCCCTCAGTGGACTTGGAACGTGACCAGTGAGACCACAGTTTCTGTGTCCACTGGACCAAGTGAGAATACTCAGAAACTTGCTCCTCAAATCGCGTTAGATCTACAGACCAGAAGCACCCAACACCTCCTGGGAGCTTGTTAAACATGCAGAATCTCAGGTTAGACCCCAGGCCTGTAGAATCAGACTCTCGGCGTAGATGCAGATTTCTGTTTCAACAAGCTCACAGTGCGATTCATGTGCACCCTAAAGTTTGAGAACTACTGATTTAAAGGATCAGATATCCTGAAGTATGTTTTCGAGAGCTTACGTGAACGTTAAGAATGTGTATATGGAAGTCAATGTGACTTAACAGTGCAAGAAGGAATCATAGATCATCCTATCCAGATAGGAAATAAGCTACTCAGATGTGTCAAGTGTACAAAGCATATTCAAATTAAAGGAAAAAAAAAAGTTGTGGGTTATTTTCTTTCCTGAATAGAGAGGCACATAGAGCTAGCTCTGTGTCAGCAGTGAAATGCAGGGCACAAAGGTGTAAACTGGCCAAAGGCTAAGGAACAACAGCAGCATGAGAGGCAGAAGCAGTGACAGCGCACGTGGTCAGCCTCTTCCCAGCGGCAGTTCCTGAAGGAAGGAGCAAGTGTAACTCATATATGTAGCTCATGGACGAGCCGCTCTCATGCCTGCTCCAGTTCCCCACGCTGAGCTCAGTTCAAGTTTCTTTCATAACTATGACAACCTTTCTCTGATAAAGGTAGAGGGTGGATTATACAATGTGATTATACAATAATATATATATTGTTAATAATTTTACAATACTGTATAATAAGCTATATTGACGTATTATATTGAATACACTATTTACAAATAAATATGTAAGATTTGATAGAACAAAGTAAAGTTTGAAGATGAAAGCTTCAAGTTTAAAAAAAATGTATCCAGTGAACTTCAGTCTTTGCTCAAATGTCAGCTTCTCATTGAGGCCTGATCTAACCTGCCCTAACTCCACCTCAGCCGCATAGCTGACACCCGCCCACCATCCTACTTTGCTCTTTTTTTTTCATAGTACGTGCCTGCTAGCATACAACATATAACAATACAACAATAAATTTTTACATTTATTACTGTCTGACCACTAGAATGGCTCTATAGAACAGGGATCTTGTTTTGTTTTGTTTTGTTTTGTTTGCGGTACGCGGGCCTCTCCCTGCTGTGGCCTCTCTCGTTGCGGAGCAACAGGCTCCGGATGCGCAGGCTCAGCGGCCATGGCTCACAGGCCCAGCTGCTCCATGGCATGTGGGATCTTCCCAGACCGGGTCACGAACCCATGTCCCCTGCATCGGCAGGCGGGACTCTCAACCACTGCGCCACCAGGGAAGACTCCAAGGGATTTTTGTTTATTGTTCACTGATGGATTCCTCACACCTAGAAGTGTCCCTGGACTCCATGAATATTTGCTGGATAAATGAATTAATTAGCAAGGAGAGTACTTCATATCACAGCAATAAAACAGAAAAACAAATGTTTTACTGGGGTTCTCCTTTTAATGGATGATATTAAACTAGTAACACAGAAGATAACTTCAAGAATATATCTTTGCTGTTTTCCTACAGCAGGAGAGGAATGAGAATTTTCCTATGTGAAATTTTGTTTTTACTGTTTTTGTAGAGTGCCCAATTGCAATGGTAGCTCTCTTAGTTGTAACCTATATTTTTAATTCCTTTTCATCAGTTAGAGTCAGAACTATAGCTTAATGTTGGTAATTAAGCTAAGAATTTCTCTAGCCATTTTTTCTCTGTTACTAGCTATAAACTCTCCCACTGAGGCATACAGGAAATCTAAAGGTTGAAGCATTTTCTTTGGGCTAACCCAGCTAAATGCAGCTTTTCATGGGGCAGTGGAGGAACATAAACATTCATTTTAACTGGCTTTTGCACAAAGCACTTAATAAATCTTTGAAGTGCTCCATAGCGGGTTGAGTCTTTTGAAGAATAGATTGGAATATCTTTAGAAAGAAACTCATAAATTCAGGTTGACAGGACAATAAGGGAAAATGGAAAATATCAGAAGCATGCCCGACTGCTGGACTACAGCATATGGGCACAGCCATTTGCTGTGGCCCAGCAGTCCAAGGCTGGCAGTGTGTTTCCTGTGAGAGCAATAATGAATCAGTCATCAGAGCACCAATATTCAGCAAGGAAGCAAATCTACTGTCCACTCTCCACTCCCCACCCTCCCCCAAGAATAGGGAAAAAACAGCCGTGTGGTAGGGAATTTTCATTCCTATGGATAAAGAGAGCTATTCAGTGGACCAAGGCTGTGAAGTCCTCAGGAAAAAAGAGAAAACCCTCCAGACCATAATTCTGCTTATACCTGAGGAGGTCTGGGCACTCAGATCTGTGTTGACAGGCCACACTGAGCAGTGTGACCAAGTAAGAAGGAATCGTCTGCTGACACACAAGGCTGCAGGTCGTAATGGAGCAGCTCTGCAAATTAACTGGAATCCACAGATCTGAGATTTGAAAGAAATCAATCCGTGAGCAAGGGGTCATTTTATAGACTTAAAATACAACCTAGAATATAGCCTCTGTAACATTATCAGACTAATGGTAACCACTGCCTTCAGATGCTGTGAGGCTAAGCCACTTGGCAAAAGAAAAACTATTCTTTTGAAATCTGTTGTCCATGAGTTGGAAAAATTGTAGATTAAATAGCAAACCTAAAATATTGCGTGCTGTTGCCTTTCCTCTGAGAAAGAAAAAAAGCCTTGCTAATGGACACTAATTTGAGTGTTTCTGATGGGAAGTAGGAAGCCTTACATCATTATGCCTTGTGTCACAGTCCCTGGTTCAGAGCTTTATAACAAAATGCACATTTCCCAGATGTGTACCTCCAAATTTCCTGGTATGGTGGCCACCTAGACAGCAGAAGCATTGCAGGGGACAGGCAGAACTGGGGACATCCTTTGTGCAGAGGAAGTGCTCTAAGTATTCAAAGAAATGGAGCAAAAATCTGGAGGAGATTTGACTGTTCTTAAAGTAGGTCACCTGTCCAGGGAAGGCCAGCCGTGAGTTCTGCTTTGTTTTGTTTTCTCCATAACTCCAGCTTTTGAAAGCAAAGCAAAAATTAAAAGATAAAAAACACTTTGAACCTTCATCTGAATTTAATAATATACAGCAGGTAGTTTCCCCTGACATTTTTCAAGCACTCACTACGTGCCCTGAGCAAAGTTAAATGCTTCCCATGCACTATTTCTTTCGCTTCTCCCAGCAACTCCATGAAGTAGGTCCTATTATTTTATTTCCCCATTTTTGCAGGTGAAGAAACGGAGGCTTGCGGAGATTGAAAAGACTTGCCCACGGCACACAAATAATGAAGTGGAGCTAGGATTCCACCCCCAGTTTGTTTCAATTCAGAGCCCATGTACGGTGGCCAATGACATCAGGTTAAGGGTGATAGCTTATGAACCACTGAGCAAGTGTCCCCCAGACTTCATGGCCATCAGGAGCAAGTCCAAAACATTTATTTCTCTGAGAGGAGTTAGCAACCTGGAAGAGTTAGGAGGGTATCCTTTCAGCCTCTCATTTTTCATTTTTCAAGTACCTGTTCAGATTTGGGGCAGAGGGTGTGAATAGGGAATAAAATCTTCTACTGAGTTACTTGGTAGGTAAGTAGATAGATGGAAGAAAGGAAGGAAGGAAGGAGGTTTGAAACATAAACATCCTTTTCTTCTCACTGCTTGTCTAGATTTTGATTGGAGCTGTCATTGCCATGGGATCAGCCGACAGAGACGGCCGCCTACACCCGGGAGACGAGCTCGTCTATGTGGATGGGATTCCAGTGGCTGGCAAGACCCACCGCTATGTCATCGACCTTATGCACCATGCAGCCCGGAACGGGCAGGTCAACCTCACTGTGAGAAGAAAGGTGCTATGTGGAGGTATGTAACTCGAACCAGCAGCAAGAGTTGGGGGTTAGGTGGTGAGATGCTTTTGTGAGTCAGGGTCAGGACGCTGGAGACAACATTTGAAATCAGTTTCTATATTATATGAGGGAAAAGACCAACCTCGCTATGCCAGATGTAACTATGATGTTGAAAGTGCAGATTTTCACCCCGCTAGTACATTTCTAAGCCATCTTTGAGGCTGACATTTTCCATGGAGTCATTAAAAATTCCTAGCAAAGCCTGAGGCTAATTTAAGATATGCATGCTCTTTGCTTTTTGGTAGATGCTAGGTATAAGAAGAACATTATAATAGTGAAAAATACAGCTTTTGAAAATGTTCCTCATTGTGTTTACAAGCCAAGAAACACAGCATTTTGATACCATAAAAAGGCAACTAGGATGGAAAATTAACTTCCTTTATAGAGCCTGATAAATGGTAACAATAAAATGATTACTTTGATTTAGAAAAATACAGCTATATGTCACTCTGAGAAAGCACAATTCATATAACTCCAAAGTTATGAAACAGAGAAATTAGAAGTAATTATTCCCTTTACAACCTTTACAGCTTCATAAAAGAATCCACCAAAGAAATACTTTTAAAAGTCAGCCCTCTTAGTCATATGATTCAATTTAGCTCTCTTTACCATCTCTCAACCCCCCCCAAAAAAGATTTCTGTTTATAAGGAATATGTCCATTACAAGCATTATACTGTTTTTTATCCTCTGAGCACTCAGTAATATTGGGAATATTGTCCCAAACCGCCTGTGCTTCCTTTGCCCTGTGAATTACAGGAGCGACAGTGCCAAAGATGTTCCGTCGTCACCTGCCCCGGTGGCCTGCTGGCCTCTCTACTCAGCCCTGGACTGCTCGTCATACACAGTGATCAATACTAGAATTAGGAGGGACCTTAGAAAGAGCAACGTGAACTCCCTTGTGTTACAGATGACAAACTGAGGCCCTGAGGTTCAGTAGATGTCCTGGTGGTCTGCAGTGAGTCAGTGATCATGCAGAGACCCATCTCCCCAGCCAGTGCTTCTTTCTTTACTCTACCAGCAAACCCCTGTCCAGTGGATTCAAAGACATTAGACCAACCTTTAGCAAATGTCACTCCCTAACATAAGGAGTCTTCCATATGTGCTATTATCGTAACACATTTGAATTTTTAAAAAAGAGCCACCAGCTAATCACAGCTGTGAATCACTCGAGAGTATAAGGTTTATTAGTCGAACTAAAAATCCTTTTCTAGTCAAGTCTTGTAGAAACTAGATTTTGAGCAGGAGCTATCACTTAAAAGGGTAAGTCAGAAAAATTATCAGCCCTCACCTGTAGAGACTGCTATAGATCTTGTATTACGGAGGTTTTGCTAAGAGGTGCCATTCGTCTTCAGAAATTCATGGACCACTTGACCCAGTGAAGTAAAACACCTTGAATTATGCCTTAACCTTGGGCGAGATGCCCCGAGGAAGACAGCGTTTGCTCAGTTAACATTTAACTGTCTCTCACACTCTAAAGTGATTTTTAATAAAAAGTTTGCTGTGGTATTTGTTCTGTAACCCAAAGATAAGTTTAAAAATACTGATTTACAAGGAAATACACTGCAAAGTGCAAAAACTAATGCACCAAAATAATTTCATGCTCTCCTTGCCACCAGCTGATTATCATAAATTAAATTTTGTTCTAATCAACCCAGGCTATTGGAGTGTAGGCCAAATGCCTCAAAAATGTATTCTTGCAATTTGTGGATCATGTAACTTCTGTGAAGATGCTCTTTGCTGCCGTTCTTACCAACTTTACTCATTTAGGCTTCCAAGTGCATTTAGTTTTTGAAAATGTTCTGCCGCAGACTGCTCATTCACACCAGGAGAGTTTCCAAGTTAGTTCAGCCCACTCTTCCTTGAAAGCTTCATGAGTATTGAAAACGATTAAGTTCAGCAAAGGATACTTTGATAGTAAAGTCAATGCCTAGAAATAGGATGGAGCAGATTTTTTAAACGGGCCTAGGAAGACAGCCTTTCTTCATAGCTGCCATTTCTCCAACAGTGAGAAGAGATAGCTACAAATGAATATGACAGTGGATATGCCATTTTCAGGGTTCTTGTTATCATCATTATTATGGTTTCTGAAGCAAATGCGGTGGGAGGTCCAAGCCTGGCTTATGATGAGACGGTTCAAAGCTGAGGGGAAATGAGTAATCAGACTGTGAAGAGACAGAAGATGAACGAGGAGACCGGCAGTGTCACCACCCTCTTGCACAAAGGAGTAATATAATGGAAAAAGAGGTGGGCAGAAGGGAGGTCAGCCTTATGCTTGCCTCCGCTCGTACAAATGTCCTGCCTCACCTCAGAAGACACTGGGCATTGGTTTCCTAGTTGATGCTGAAGAGAAGAAGAAGAAAAAAAGCATTAATTATGAGAGATACAGACTGGTTAGTTACACTGGGCAAAAATTAAAATAAAAACCTGCTCCAAATGTTAACATACCAAAAAAAGTGTACGCACTAAAGATAGAAAGGCAGAATTTTCAATTAGGCAATAGCAAACTAGATCCTCAAAAGTGAGAAATGGTGGATAAAAACGTAAAGGATAAAGGATGAAAACATCCAGTAATGTATCCAATTTTGTTTACCAGATAATTTCAGCACAGATCTTGCACCTTAAACTAGTTTTGAGAGGTGCCTTATCTGTGCTACCAGCTCCGATATTTAGTTGTTCAAAGTGGCTTTAATTGTTACACTGAAAGTGTAAATATTTACATGTTTAATAATTCAACTTTGAGACGTTCAACGTAGTGACACATTATTTTGTATACATACGATTCGTCTGAGAGAAGAGTGTCTCTGAGGAATTCCCGAAAGTGTAAATCTAGAATTGATGTGAAAGAAAGTTTTATGACTTAATCAAAACACGTTAGAGTCCATCTTAAAGCTGTCAGCATCTTTTTTTTCTAACACCTAAGGGAAAGTCTAATTCTTGGCCTGATACTGAGAAAGGGAAGGTTTTCTTGGCAGCTAGGTGAAAAGTTTAGCCAGCGTTCAGGATGCTAGTGAATTCCCTGCTCCTGGTTACTATACTTTCTGTCAATTCTAAATACAATCCCTTACTCTTTGTCTATGAGCATGTCACCCATTTAAATAATGTGTCTGCCTTGATGAGCATAAGGCAGGAGTGCAGAAACTCACATGCCTTCAGGAAGGCCAGCCCCTAACATGGGCAGGACCCCAGCCTGCCAGGCACCACAGGGGTGCACTGTGCCTGTGGACACTCCAGTGCACGTGTCCAAGATCTACCACACACATACCCTGGTGCCTCAGCCGTGCTTCAAGACAAGATTTGCACGCTCTTCCAGGGGACAGTCCTGTGAAGAGAGGCCCAGGCACAACCTGGAAGCAGGCAAGGTCTGTTTGGTTACATAGAGCCCTGGTACCCAGTCTGTGATCTTGAAGGGGAAGAAGGGCTCCAGCTGAACAAGTCCCTTTGGCCCTGTGTGCTCTTCACTCCACGGGTAAATGAGTAAATCAGGAATTTGCAAGAGACGCTGGGGAGTAGCTGAGACTTGCACATTGTGTACTCAGTCAAGGGAGCAGGAATTGCCCAACTCTAGTTGATTATTACCAAATATTTCAAGAGAAACTAGAAATCCAGCTTTCTGTAAAATCACCCTATTTAAAAACATTGGCAATTAATTTTAACAGTTATTAAACAAAGTCTAGACCGGCATTGGGCAGGAATAACAAATGGGTCTGCAGACCAGGAGCAGCTCCTGGCCAGCAGTTGACTGTTCTAGTCAAAACCATCTCACCTGGAGGACATTATCAATGACTCCTGCCTTCCCAATGGGAGACCCCCTCCCAGTCAGCACAGTGGTGATTTCCAGTATGACTGGTGAGGACAAAACAGAAGCTAAAACCTAAAAATTAATTATTGGACTTGAATAGATATTAAGTGACTGAATTCTGTACACCCGTTTGCATGTGAGCCAGGGGATGAGTCAGGGATGCTGGGACTTAGTGTGTTTAAAAAAAGAGAAGAAGAAGAAGAAAAATTGCACGTGGTATTTAGTCACTTTCTGACATTTTACTATATTATTCTAAAACAACATTTTTCATCCCCTATACCAGGAAGTGTTGTTGGAGAGAAGACAGTCTCATTTGGGTCTAGAGCCAGCCAAGTAGAAAAATGAGGTGGAATCAGTTATATCCCTCGAAGTCAATCATTGGAAGTCTTCTTAACTCCCTGGTTTTAAATGTGCTCATGGTGTTAAAGATAAAGAACTTTGTTCTAGAGGTTGAAAGAGACATGCAGAAGCAATAGGAAAGTATCCTGTTAATGTATTTGACTCCTGCACTCACCCAGGGACACTCACATTGACTTAGGCAATGATTTTCTTTCTTTCTCCCTTTGGAACCTGCGGCATAGCCACTCGGAGCCACTTTCTGCAAAGACAGATAATTTTTCTTTGTTGCTGCTTTACTGACAACCACAGCTCTCAACCCCCTAAAATATGACAGCCAGAAAATGAGATCTCTCTTGTCACTGCCTATGACATTTAGTTACTGATTTGGTCCAATAACTCAGGGAGATTTTCAGTTTAATGTTGCAGCATAATAATTGTTTGTTTTTCTTCTTCCTGACTATCTCCAATCACTTTATTTCCAGCTTATACAAGGACTGATAAAGGATATGTGCTTCACCAAGACAATAACAGCTTGTCTTTGGATGATGTTTTCTAGTGGAGAGGGTTCATTTTACAGGTAGTTTGAAATTCTGATGGAAAAGAGGGAAAAGCTTTGACATTGACATTTTGCTCTTTTATCACCTCAGTACATTTCTTACATATGAAAACACCCATTTGTTTTCTTTTATTAAAACCTGATTGATTAAATATTACAGAAACATTCAAATATATCAAACAGTAATAAGCAGTAGCCTGGGTCTTATTCATTCTGTAATCACAGACAAGAAATGAATACATTTTTGTAAAGACCATTTTTAAATCTGAGTATCTGATTAAATGCAGCTCCATTTTCTTTAGGTATCAGTGTAACAAAACATCTCTTATAGTCAGTGTTCTCATTCCCTGATTTTTGAACTGACTGATTTTTTAAACGAAATGATTTTTCATTTCAGAATGGAATTGCATCTTACATTAAAAGCCTTCATTGGAACTTTGGCTAATTATTTTTAACTTGCCATATGAGACAACTGCCAGTATTGTAAATAGGAGACCATATCTAAAGACCCATAAAGGAATCACTAATTATCATTATTTTCTATCTCATTGTTCCTCTGTTCCATAAACATCTTTTGAGTACACTAATCAAGTTGTAAGATGGACATGAAACGGTCCTGTTTCTAATTACAGTATTCTACGTGCCTGCTTAAGTTTTTTTTTTTTTTTCATCCGAATACCAGAACCTAGGTATTATAGTAAAATGACAGAATTCTTTCTTGAATGATGGGTCAACTTTCAGTTTAAAAACTAGGTTCTCTTGGCTGCCAAGTTTCTCTCATTTCTCCCTATAAATATACTTGCTTTCTCATGGAAGTACTGGCTTGCTTTATCTAGTTGACAATAAAGTATATTTTACAATAATATAGAATGTAAATGAGCAAGGCCTCCAACACCTCCCTTAGAGATTCAAAATTCATCATTCCACAGCCTGATATCATTGTTAGATTTGATCCTAGAGTGAGCAAACTAAGAAGTATGTTTCCCAGCTACACAAAGTGAATGAACACTTCTAACAGAATATCACAGAATTAAATAAACCCATGGCTTTTTAGTAAAATTACGGTAGGTCACTTTACGTGGACATCCTCTGGGCTGTTAACGCCAGCTACAATCAGCACTTCTCAAAGTGTGGCCTTGAAACCTCATCCAGATTCCTGTGCCCAGTTGATCCTAGATCTACTGAAAAAACTCCTTGGGTGAACTCTGATGATGCACATCTCTCACGAGTTCTTTAAGTGGGTTTTATGCATAGCACAGTTGAAGAGTCTGTCTCTCCGTTTTATGATCTTCTTAGATCAATTATTGTTGTGAAACTGAGAAGCCTGATATTTAAAACTAGGCATTGTCTTGGCGGGTTGCAGTCTTACCGAGAAGAAGTTATAAACAAGTAGCGGCACAGGGGAAGCTGAGGAGGGGTTTTACCTGTGTTTGCTGTGAAGGGTGGAAAGGGGCAAGACCTAGGGGGCTCCATAGCCAGGTTTGGAGCTTTTCAGATACTCTTCACGTCCGGGGGGTGGGGGGTGGGGGGAGGAATGGAGGCCAGTCAACCAACCTGGTAACAATGCCAGTGTCTAGAATAGTGCCCAGTACACAGGAGGCACTCCTTCATCAAGACCCTTGCTAAATAACCAGGTGCCTGTGTACGATGTGTGTTCCAGGGGAGCCCTGCCCAGAGAACGGGAGGAGTCCAGGCTCCGTGTCGACCCACCACAGCTCTCCTCGCAGCGACTACGCAACCTACACCAACACTCACACCAACAGCAGCGCCTCTCCCCCTGAAGGCTTCGCCTCCCACAGCCTGCAGACCAGCGACGTGGTCATTCACCGTAAAGAGAACGAGGGTTTCGGCTTTGTCATCATCAGCTCCCTGAACAGGCCAGAGTCCGGATCCACCATAAGTAAGTGTCTGCTTTGCCCGCTTTCGAATGAGAGCTATTGTTTTTATTGTTCTGGTGGTGGGGATCCTGGACAAGTAGATCAGAGGACTGTTGTATTCATAAATGTGGAGCCCGAAAGTCGCAGCCTCCGGGCACAAATAAGGCATCCTTAGCACTTGCCTAGCCAAATGTTGCCGACTTTGGCTCAGAAAGAATGCAAGACGACAGCTAATGTCCTCCCAAACCCACAGCCCCCATAAAAGCTCTTCATTCATTTTCAACTGGGAAGAAAACAATGCAGTGTGATGTGGGAATTTCGACGTGAGGGGAGAGGTGCTTCTGTTCTGTAGAATGAAACCAGCTGCACAAAGTATCTGAGGGAAAAGCAGTCCAGGCAGAAGCCTTGACGTGGGAAGGTGCTCAGCATTCAGGAAATATACAGAAAATGTATGGTTTCACGTATACCTGGAATCTGAAAAACAAGGCAAATAAACACACTAACAGACAAAACAGAAACAGACTCCTAGATACAGAGAACAAACTAGTGGTGGCCGGAGGGGGGGGGAGGGGGATGGGTGAGATAGGTGAGAGGAATCAAGTGGTTCAAACTTCCAGTTATAAAATAAATAAGTCACAGGGATGTAATGTACAGTGCACAGAATATAGTCAATAAAACTATCACTTTGTATGGTGCATAATCTATAAAAATATCAAATCACTATGTTGTATACCTGAAACTAATATAAACTTGTAAGTCAACTATACTTCAGTTAAATATATATGTATATATACAGATTATGTGTCTATAGATACACATACAGAAGCCCAGTACATCTGTGGTCTAGTGAACACGAGCAGCGTGAGACCAGGACATAGAGCTAGGCGGGAGCCAGGCTGTGCAGGGCTTCACACATCCTTGGAAAGAAGCGTGGGTTATAATCTAAATCCATGGGAACCATTGGAAGGTTTTAAGCGGTAGACAGATATCTGACATATATTTTTAAAAGATGAATCCAGATGCTCATGAAAAATGGAAGCAGGAAGAGAGCCAGAGTGGAAGCATGAGACACAGGAGACCTTTAACACTGTCCTGTGGATTTGCGCCGATCATTCTGTAATGTATAAAAATATCAAATCACTATGTTGTGTACCTGTAGCTAACATAGTGTTGTAGGTCAACTATACCTCAGTAAAAAATAACTAAATAAATAAATTTTTAAGTAAGTAAGTAAGTGAATAACTTAATAAGACAGCCCTGTGGGTCCAGAGATCCCAGTGCCTTGGTAGAAGTAATGGATGGGGGAGAAGTAGATGATTTCACCTTCTGAGATTCCTCCAAATCTAAGGTTCCAAGAGTCTGTACAACAGGTGACAGTCAGAGGTCGTATCTCTCTTCCAATCAATCATCTTTGCAGATTCTCAGCTTCCTCAGTGGTTTTCCTTTCAGCAGCACTATTCCGGAAGTCACTCCTCAGCCAGCAAGCAGTAGGGCAGAAGTGATAGGAAAACTTGTTCATTTTTCATGTACAAGTGATTTGGCCCGAAATGTTGTGGATAGAAACACCATAACAGAGAGCATTAGGAGAAACGACAATTGAGTCATGCTGTGGTCCTGAAATTCTTATGAATTGTGGTTGTCCCCAGCACATGGCAAGGGGTGCGGGTATCAAACAATGCTCAAGAAATCAAATTGTTGAGAATGAATAAGAACGTTTTATGATAAAGTTAATGTTAGCAAAATAGTACCAGGACTGAATGGAGAGAATTGCCCTGTTTAGCTTTAGCTTTGACCAATTCAAGAGTGGAAACTATAGAAGCATTAAACTTTGTGAAAGGTGAAAATGTGCAGAAGCTAAATTACGTACATCTGAAAGTATGATTTCATTTATCTTTTTCTTCATGATGAGGTAAAGAAATAAATCCAGTCCTTAAGCATAGAGTAAAGGCAGGATTCTGTCAGTGTGTTGGATTCAGCAAGATTAAAAGGACACAAGATTTTCTTGAATTATATAAACAGCCTTCCAGTAATTTACACTTGGGGAAAATGTTCACAGAGAGCTTTTGTAGCTATTCCAGGCACTCAAATTGTTTATTGGGGCAGGATACCTAAAGGACTGGAATAAAATTAAGTGTACTACCACAGTGAAAGTGTTAAGCATGTCTTTAAGGTCTCAGCTTTATCTGAAGTGTGACAGCATTATTGCTAAACGTATAGGAGGATTTGTGTGTGCACGCGTACATTTATTACATAAGGAAGCCACAGAGGATTTGTCTATTGCAAATAAGATCCATGCATGGACAGGGTTGGCAAACACCAGGTGCAAATGCTTACAATTAAATGTGGATTTTTCTGCCTACCAAGTGACATTAGACTGACCTCAAAAGAGTAATTCTAACCATTTTCGAAATGGTATTATTTTACATCACCCTGGAGAGTGGAAAGCTATTCTAGAGTTCATGATGCTTCCTAGCTTCTTTTTGCACGTATTTATTTCTCTTTAATTTAAGAAACTTTAAGAAAATTTTTTTGAAGTGTAGTTGCTTTACAATGTTGTGTTAGTTTCTACTGTACGCAAGTGAATCAGCCACACGTATACATACATCCCCTCCTTTTTGGATTTCCTTCCTATTTAGGTCACCACAGAGCACCCAGTAGAGTTCCCTGAGCTACACAGTAGGTCCTCATTAGTTATCCATTCCATACATAGTATCAATAGTGTATATAAACACAGGCTGTCCCTATGTTCCGGGAAGAGCATGTTTACAGTCTGTAATTTGCAACATGCACCTGAAAGATCTCTAGAGCTGATACTACTTCATGCTTAACTTCCGTAATAATTTTTAACTCTCAATTCTGAAGAGAAAGGCAAAGTGCCACCTCCTGTGCCACACATCCACTGCCAGAATATCAAGGCTCCTTGGGCTCTGCGAGCCCGGGAGAGCGTGATACTGTTCTGATATCCAAGAGTCAAAATCATTTCCAGGGCTGGTGTCATTTTTCTCTTCGTGTCTTATCTGGGTCCAAGGATCTTGAACACATTTGTGGTTTATTTTTCAGGCTACTGAGACCCTCTCCTTAGCGGACAGAGCGCTGTTATTCATGCCTTTGATAGGGGCACCATCACATCTAGGCGAGGGCATGGCGTGGCTAACAGCCCAGGTGCTCTAATCGTACTGCCTGGATTTGAAACCTGGCTCCATCATTGACTAGCTCTGTGACCTTGGGGAAGTTATACAACCTCTTTGGGCCTTAGTTTCCTTGAATGTAAAGAGACGATCATTTTAATACCTAGGTCATCAGGTTGCTGTGAGGGTTGAATGAATTAGTACACGGAAGTGCTTAGAAGAGCACTGACTCAGAGTGAGCACTAAGTGTGTGGTCACTGCCGTCTAGATCACCTTGCCTGCTAGGAATTATCACTGCGTTCCATCAGCTCGCTCTTCTCGGAGGGCGCAGAGTTCACGCTGCTGTCGGCTCAGTCAGCCATTAGTCAGAGCCCACCACTCTCCCAGAGCAGCTAAATCCGGGCAGCAGATGAGCATCTCTGAGGGCCAGCTCCCCGTCCCGCCGTGCTGACCTTCTGGGAGCACACCCCCTGGGCCAGGGCTGGGGGCATTGAGAGCAGCAGCGGCGGCAGCCATGCCAGTCCAGCAGTGGGCCTTTGCTGAGGCTTCAGGCTGGAAGTCTCCCCAGAAGCCACTAACCAATAGACTAGAAGAGTCAGGGCAAACATCAAAATTCAGACTCAAAGCTGTGCCTTTTAGGGTATCCTGCAAACTTTATGTCTCTGTTGAATAGATCAGAGAAGAGAGGAGAGATGGAGAACCCACTGTAAACTTCCCCACCCTGCAGACAGAGAAGGAGTGCCCTTCCGCAGCTTGTTCAGCCCAGGCGGCAACTTTGCCAAGAAGGCCAGATGTTTAACCAGTTGGGAACTTGGAAAAGTCGAGTTCCTGGCTTATTTGTTGCCTGGAGTTTAGTAGGGCTCTTTATCAAAGCCTCACATATTTTTTTCACAGTGTTATTTCCCCCCAAAATAAAAAAGAACTTTTTTACACTATTAATGTAATTTGGCAGCATATTACTTCCTCCCAAAGCCAGGAGGCCAACTATCGTTTGAGAGTAGACAGATCTTAGAAGCCTTCTATATGAGGTGCAGAAATACCTTTCTTGATTTAAATTGAGAACAGGTAAGCTTCCTGAGCATTTCTGTCCCATTATCCAAAATATTAAGCTTTTTTTTTTCAGACCTTAAAATTGGACTCAAGGGAAAACAAAATGGTTTGCAAACCAGAGCCTAGGATAAGAGTGAACCGTAACAGGCAGTTGCACTTAAAATTCTTTAAAGGATTCAAAAAAATTTATATAGAAAGATGTTCATCGCCACGTTATTGATAGACATTGAAAGCTGGAAAGAACGTTAGAAGTTTCTCCAAAACTGGAAACGTTGGCATATTTGGGAAGTTCAAGGCATTTGATGCCATTGACTGACTGCTGTCATACTTACTGAGGTTTTGTACCCAGGATAAGGAAGGTAGCCTTCGGAGCCAGAGGGGATCAGATGCTTGTGCCCCAGTGGCCATGTGCAGTGGGGTTGGCAGGTCAGCCTTTGGGCCTCCCCAGCTGAAGGTCTGAGTCCGACATCCAGGTTTTATTACAGAGCACAGAGCTATAACCGTCATCGCAGGTGCTTCCTGCTCTGCCCCCAAAACCTGCTTTCCCACCAGAGGTTCCCAAGAAGGGCTTTGACACAAGTGATGAAATAAAAGTGACACTGATTCTCCCGCTCTTGTAAAACCTGTGAGGAAGGTTATGTTGAACTGTATGGGGTAGCCGTGCGTGGGTAGCCTGGACAGTGGTGTTGGAGGCTGGCAGCCTGTTGAGGGAATTCATAAATTTAGGTGCAGGCCCATCACAAGCTGGGAGGTAGAACATACTCCGGACAGCAGCCATAGTAGCAGTCCAAGCAGCCCCAGTAGAGGAACAGTCATTTCAACCCTTCCTTCCTTTATTCATATTG